CTGACAGCCTGGGCTGGACAGACCTGGGGAGAGCCAAGCCCCACCACGGGGGCGCTGGGGTGGGCGAGGCGCCCCTCTCCCATCCCCCCGCCCCCAGGAGGGCACTCCCAGGAAACCCACGGAGGAGAGAAGAGGCAAGCCTCATTTCTCGGTGACCCAGATGAGCGCTTCTGCCATCTGTCACTCGGGCTTGGCTCTAAGCCCCAGTGGCCTGGCTGGGAGGTAGGGCTGGAGGGAAGGCAGGGATGGGAAATGGTGGGTCGAGGATTTCCAAGCCTCTGGGCTCTGCCCACCTTCAGTCAGGGAGCATGAAAACAAGAGGCAACTGTGTGGAAAGAAAGAAATTAGTAAAAGGTCACTGTTTCCATTTTCCCTAGAAGCTGATCTGCTACCAAGAAAAGGGAAAAATTCACCTCTCCCCACACCCTCACCCTCCACCAGGCTCAGACTGGGCTCCAGAGTGGGAGCCAGACCCCAGGAGACGCTGCCCCCCACCTCCTGTGCCCCAGCCCCCGCCGCCCCGCACCCGGAGGCCCAGTGGGTGACATCAGCTCCGTGCCCAGGGAGCCCTGGTGACCACACAGACGCAGATTCCCATGGAAACCAAATCAAATCAAACCATCTGAAAAACTAAAGTTCCAGGTGGAAGGAATTAGAAACAGCAAATCCAACAGGAGAGGCCATTTGGAGCCAAAGCAAGTGTCCCGCCTCGGGGCCACAGTGAGGGGCAGTGGTCACAACCCTGCCGCCCCCTCCCCCACTGGTTATAGGGACTTTGACTTTGGCTCCAGATGTGGGGACTGGGTCAGGCTTGGTCATCTATCTCGTCACTGAACAACACAGGCCAAATCCCTTAAACCTCCTCTGGGCCTTGTCTCCTCAACTAGAAAACAAGGCTGACACTAAGCCCTCTCCTAAAGGGCTGATGTGAGGAGTAAGGACATCACACAGAAGAGGCCAGCACAATTTCTGGGGTACACAGCTAGTGCCCAGGACGTCAGGTATCACAACCCCCGTGATTATCATGTATCTCAGAGTCACATGGGCCAAAATTGAGGGTTATCCTGATAGCACCCTTTGGTGAGTTTCTTAACATCTCCAGATTGATTTCTCACCTGCAAAAGAGGGTAACATTCCCACCCTGGCACGGAAGGCCTGAGACGGTAAGTGGGCATGCAAATATGCATTCGCTCCCTTCTCCCCTCCCCTCCCCTCAGTGGCCTTCCAGGAAGCCTCCCCACCTGGAGCAGAAAGGGAAGGGCTAGATCATAAAGCATCTGCCAGCTCTGGTATTCTTGGATTCTAGGATTCTAGCCAAAGAAAATAAGCTGGAACCCAAAATATTCCCATCTAGCCCACTCGTTAAATTTGCAAACACAACTGCCTAGTTCCTAATGCCAGAACCTTCTCTGCAAAGTCAGATCAAACTGCATCCGTCCTGCAGCCGAGGCACCTCAGCCCAGCAGCCCACCCAGCCCTGAGCTCTGAGGGCCCCAGAGAGTCTCCAGGAAAGGCATGCAAAGAAGGGTCCCGAGAGCCCTCACAGAACTTCGCATGCCTGGGTACCAATCGATTTGCCCCAAAACATCACCCAGGCCAAAAACAAACTGCCCAGCCTAAGGTGATGTCAGCCAGGAAGAGATGAGGCCATGATGCCATCCACTCTGGCAGCTGAGCTCTTTCCTAAGGCAGGCAGCCCTGCGGCTCAGGCAGCAGACCTTCCAGCAGCTTCTTACCGCCGAGTTCTGGGGTATGGTGTGTGTTTTGATTCAGGGGGAGGGAAAAAAATATTGACTACTTTGCGAAAAGAACAAAGAGGCTGCTTGAGTTAGTCAAAATGCTGAAGCACCAAGTATTTTTCAAGAAATAACATGGGCTGCTTCGGGACACACACAGTAAGGCTGCTCAGACCCCTTGAAGTTGACCCCTAAGGAACTGCCCGGCCAGGGCCCCCGTTTCAATGAGCAGCGAGGAACACATGAAAGCAGTTGGCCACGAAGGCACACCCATTCCTGAGTCCTGCACTGGCTCACCCTCAGGGGGTTACACGTTCGCCCACCCAAGTACTATCCAGATTACTTGCCCGGCCAGGTTGGTTTTCGGCCGGAGTTGCAAAGATACGCTGGCTTCTAGTCCTGATTGGCCCTCAGGCCGAGAACAATGGTTGGGGTCAGATCACGTTCGGTGGGGCCCCTTCATAGCTGCTGGCCACAGGAAAGCTTCAGCTTCTGGATCTGCCATGGAGAGCTGATGGGACAAGTCCCAGAAGAATCAGCAAGAGCGCCTGGGAAGCCCTGGGCCCTGGCCTGGCTCATCAGAGTCTGATGAAGTCCGCAGCGGGCAAGGAGACACTGTGCCAGAGCCCCGTGTGAACTCTGAGGTCAGGGTGGGCTGGCGAGCCCCTGCGCTGGGGCATGGATACCCTCAGCCACCCTTGACCACGGTTCTGTCCTTCTCCGCCTCGGACCCTGTGGTCGGTAACTCTTCAGGACACAGAGAGCATCACACTGCAGTGCATCTTCGGAAGGAACATCCTACAGCAACCTACACGCATGATTTTGAAGACTGCTGGAAATCCGAGGGAAACCTTCATAAACACCATGAGTCAACTAGGTCTAGGAGCCAAATCCCAATGAATATGGTTTTATAGAAAGAGATACTTTTGCAAACAACCTTGACAGAGTATCGTTCAGCACTCAGAATCAGCTCCAATATTGTGATTCACTGGTAAGATCGAGCCTATTTGCTTAGAGATGTCAGCTCACCCTCAGAAGGCTTGGGATCCAAGCCAGAGGGGCCCCTGCATGTGATAGTGCCTTGGCATGGGATGATGGGTCCCTAAGCTTCTCCTGGTCACCTGACTGGCTCCATCTATCATTCAGGTCTCCGTTCCATGTCACCGCCTCCATCAGCCCTCCCGGACTGCTCAGCCTAAGGCAGTGCCCCACCAAGAGAAGGGGAGCTGCGGTCCTCAAAGCCCCTCCAGGAGCTGGTTTCGGCATGTTTGATTGGCTCCCCCCCACTTCCAGCGAGGCAGAAGCCATGGTTTCAAACGTGCACTCTGGAAACGCACTAGCTGAGTTCACACCCCCACCCTACCCCTTTCCAGCTCTGAGACTTCAGGCAAGTGACTCAGCCTCTCTGTGCTTTGGGCTCTCCCTCCACACCATGAAGGAAGGGACTGTTGTGAGCACGCCCTGAGCAAAACATGCAGCGCACTCAAGAGTGATGCTTGCCATGTGTTCAGTGCTCGATAGTGCTGAGCTATCAGTTTGGAATTTAAGTTCTTGAAAACAAGGATTAACGTGGTCACGCTCCCCACTGTGTCCCCTGCACCTAAGACAATGCCAGGCACAAAGCAGGCACTGTGAAAGGAACAAAGGGATGCCCAACCAGAAGAATGCTCCCACCTCACAGGACAGCTCTGGCATTAACTGCGAGGGCCCAGCCTGGCCTGGTGCACGACGTGGTAGGCGTCACCCTATCTCTCCCAGCCCCTCGCCGGAGCTTCCCTGTGTGGTCACCACTGTGCTGATGTCCTGACGGTGCGGTGCCCCGCCCACCCCAGCCTGGGCAACCTTCAAGGCCAGCTGGTAGCCTGGGCTGGCAGGTGGGGCCCGAGGTCCTGTTCTCTGCTCCACCAGCAACAAGTGCCTGGAGATCGGAACATCTAACAGTGCTTTGCAAACTACCAAGAGCGACACAAACACGAGCAATTATCCTCACAGGAAACAGATAAACGATGCATTCAAGGTTTCTCCAAATCCATAACCAAGGTTTTTAAAATCTACAATAATCATATGATCCAACAATTCTCCTCCTGGGGGTATACCCAAAAGAACTGAAAGCAGGGTTCTCGAACAGATATCCGTATGCACACGCTCCCAGCAGCATTACGTACAATCGCCAAAACGTGGAAGCAGCCTAAGTGCCCACTGATAGATGATCGAATAAACAAAATGTGGTCCATACCTCCCATGGAATAGTTTTCAGCCTTAGAAGAAAAGGGAATTCTGACACCTGCTATAGCACAGTTACGAATCCTGAGGACATCACGTTAAGTGAAGTAAGCTACTGATGACAAGACAAAACGCTGCACGATACCACTTATATGAGGTTCACAGAGTAGTCAGATTCAGAGACAGAAAGCAGAATGGTGGTGGCCAGGGGCTGTGGGGAGGAGACAGCGGGGAATCTGTGTTTACTGGGGGCAGAGCTTCAGTTTTGCAAGATGAAGCGTTCTGGAGATGGATAGTGGTGATGGTTGCACATTAGGAACGTACTTATCACCACTGGAGCATGCACTCACAATTGGTTAGGAGGGTAAATTTTATGTGTATTTCACCACCAAAAGAAAAAAAAAAAATTGGGAAAAGAAACTCACAAGAGAGTTAGTGGACAGGGTGTGCTATTGACCCAACACTGCCCAGGGCACATCACATCAGGGCCCCCCTGCCCCAGCATGGGACCCATGCCAGCTGTGAGATAATGAGTCCAGGGCTTACAGTTCCTGAGGTTCTGACCCTCCCCTCTGCCAAGACCAGCCAGCCTGCTCTCCTGAAAACTTGTTCTTGGACAAAGCTCCAGACACACCCCCCTTGCCCGTGCCAACCCTGAGCAAGGATGGAGCCAGGAAACCCAGAGGAGGCTGGCTTCACTTTCCCAAGCAGAGCCAAGAACATCAAGCCTTGCTCGGCTTCCTCCCATCACCAGGTCCCAAGCCCACCCGACTTCTCCCCCATTTCCCTCCGGCATATGCCCCACACTTCGCGTCCCCTGCCTGCCTTCAGATGGAGTGACGGGCTCTTGCTTCCTTGGAAAGAACTCAAACCAGCTTCTTTCCGGGGAGAAGGAGCTGAGAGGGGAGAACCAGCTGATGTAACTTCCTTCCCTCCCCTTGCCCCTGGTGTCTGAACAACAGATCTTCAACCAATGCAAGAAGAAGGAAAGCGAGAAGACAGAGCAGGGAAGGGGGGAGGGAAGCCAGTCCCTCTACTTGCCTGGACATCAAACTCTTGCAGGAGGCCACTGATGGTCTGTGGAGAGACAAGAGAGATGGTCAGTTCTGTCCGTTTCCTGGGGGGAAAAATAATGTTGGAACACCCGGGTCTCTCCAAGCGCTGAGTCTAGACCTACCCTCCCTCCTCTGTGAGGCCTCTCCAATTTCTTACAAAGAGAGACTTTTCATCTCAAAGAATAGCAGTCCAGCAGAAAAGGAGACACATTAGCCAGATTCCTTTTTGACAATAGCCTTGGTGATTAAAAGGATCTGATGGTCTAAGCTGGCCACAAGCTTGAGAGATAGAGGAATGTAACTGTCTATTAACTAGTTTCCCTTGTCCACCCATGTGTGACACTTTTAAACCCAAACCTGACCATGTCACTGTCCTTAAATTTCTTCCACAGCTGCCCCATCATCAGGGGTCCCAGTCCCCTGGGGAGCAGTGAGGATGTGGTTCTGAGGAGGGACTGCAACATGCCCAAGAGATGTCACTGGCATGTTTTCTTTCTGGCCTAGAGATGGGAAGTCCAAAACCCTCTGAAAACGAAGCCCCAGCCAGATCCCATCACCAAGCACCAGGAAAGAAGACAGCTCAGCAGAGCAAAATGCAAAAGCAGGGGAAGGAAGTACACAGGGAAACCCCTTGGGACAGCCAGGGCTGCAAGACCAGATTGTAACAGATGCCCTGCTGCTGGAGATGAAAATGGCTTCACATACCCTGGGCTGGGTTAAGAACATCAGGGAGTTTGGTAAATTCAGGGAGAAGCAAATGTGGCCGATGCCCACTCCGTGTATGTGTGTGTTGGCAGGAGGAGGGAACAGAAAAGCCATTCTGTACAACCCCATCTTCAAAGTGCTGACAAGAGTGCAAGGGCCGTCGGATTGAGAAGAGACATCAGGAAGAACTTTCCAAAGCAAGTCTAATTAAAAACATTCTGCCGAGGGGCGCCTGGGTGCCTCAGGTGGTTGGGCGTCTGCCTTCGGCTCAGGTCATGATCCCAGGGTCCTGGGATCGAGTCCCGCATCGGGCTCCCTGCTCCTTGGGAGCCTGCTTCTCCCTCT